CATAAATCTTCCAAAAAAAAGTTGCTAATAGTCAACTTAAATAAACATAAAATACTGTGAATGAACCCTTACAAACAAAATTCCATGTAATGCAATCCTAGAAACTAAAATCAAAGAGGTGACGCAAAAGAATTTTAAAAAGTCCCAAAAAATCCTTTGGAATTTCGAGACCCTAAGAAAGTGATAATAGGTACTCCACAAGATTGTTTGGTTTAGCTGTACATACTAAAATGAGCACGTGATGGCTAACTGTCCCCCTCTTGCTTGCAAAACAAAATACCAAAGGAGGTTAGAACGTATAACCTGTAACAAAGTGCTATGCTGAGGGGAACCTAACATGTTTTGTATCACCACAAACGACTGTTTTTACTCATCTGAGTCTATCTCGCAGCAATAACACGTTGCCTTCCAAAAGATAAAGTGCTGGTAGGTTGATGTGGCGTCATAAACTATACCAGCCAGCCTGAAAACAAGCAGCAACTTTTTTTTTGAGGGGTGAAAACCTGTTTCATTTATTCAACAAAGTCTGGGATTTCCGCCGCAACGACCTGCAGAATGCAGTCCGGCGGGGATTGAAGCCACACATTACACAGCTCATCGCTAACACCAAGTTTTGCTAGAATATGCGCAGCGCTATTCGCTGATCTTCTCGTCCAACTAATTTTATGAGCCTCAAATTCTTGAAGTATGCCCTTGATCTCTTCCACCACCGGTCCAGCTGCACCCAAGTTCTTGGTCTGGTCATTCAACATGTTAACCACATTCTTGCAGTCCACCCTTGCAAGTTGCACTGCTTGTCGGCATGCAAGGATCTCCGCGATCTCCGGGTCTGATGTCGAGGCAAAACAATGACATGCAGCAGCCCGGAAAGCACCGTGGTGGTCACGAATTACCACGCCTCCTCCACTCCTTTCCCCCGCCTTGAGTGTAGCTCCGTCTGAGTTCGCTTTATGCCATCCGTCCGTCGGTGGATGCCAACGCAGAGTGTGGTTGGGTGACAAAAGAGTCTTCTCCCGTATGACCTGCACAGCTCGCCACTCATTCATATATGAGCACACCGTTTTTGCAACAGCTAGTGGCTCTACTATTCTCTTCCCATCCCTTGCCTCAATCCTAGCAAGCCACAAGCCATACAAGCTCTGGATCATCACCTCTCTCTGATCTGACGATGCTTCCGCTAGCCATTCAATCATCCAACGCTGTAACGCGCTCTGGGAGTCAACATACACCGGCGGGATCGCCACCGGGACACCCATTTCCGAGCGCATCATTTTCCAGAAACATGCCGAGTGAGGGCATCTCCAAAACCTGTGCATCACGTCCTCCTCCCTTCCACATGCAACACAGACCACACCCTTCTTAATCTTGCGCCTGTCTAGTTCCTTTCCTAGGGCCAAACCATTTCTCATCAGCCTCCATGTGTGGATTTTGACTTTGCCTGGCGCGCAAGTGTCCCAGAGCGCAAGCCACCCTTTATGATGTATTACTGAGGACGAAGGCCCAGGCTGTCCTGTCTTCGCACGTCGGATAGACATCCCGAGGTGGTACGCCGATCAAACAGTGAAAATACCGTTTTTTGTGAAGTTCCAGGCTAAGTAATCCTCCACGTTTGGTCCTCCGATATTGATCTGCATGATATCATGTGCATCCTCCGGTGTGAACATCTCTGTAACCTTAGGTACGTCCCAGTCTGTGCCATGTGAGTTTAACAAGCAGCAACTTAGTAGCAACAGTTGTGATGGCAAATACCTTTGACGTGAGCCGCTAACCAGATGCATGGAGCTCGTGTCCGCACCTTCTGGTTCACTCCCCTCCTCTCGACCATGCAAACTCAGTCCAGAACACGCTTTCAAAAAAAAAAAACTCAGCCCAGAACAAGGCAACATGTCCAACACCACCTTCGAGTGGATGGGCACGCGACAAACCCTAGCCTCGCTATGAATCTATGCAGGAGCTCCATCTAATCCATTGCGACAGACGAACTTGAGGAAGATCGAAGCCCGGAAGATTAACTTGAGGAAGAAGCGCTGACATTTGTCCGAGCACCACCCTGAGAGGAGTAAAACCCTAACATGTCGACTAGCCGGAGTCAAGGCACCAGTATTTCCTTCCCTGGCACCGGCCGCCAGAGCGGCAAACTGAGGGGAGGTGAATCCACGGGCTTGCCGGCGGAGATCGAGAGGAGGAAGGCTTTACCCTAGTCTCCTTGCAAGAGGGGAAGTAAAGTCTCTTCTTAATGTCGTGCCAACTTAAATCATATACAAAGGTTGTTTGATTGCTAAAAGAGAAAATACATAAACCTTCCGAAGAAGTTAATAGCTTGAGTAAACCTAAAATACTGTGAATCGATCCGTACAAGCAGAATTCCGTATATTGCAATCCTACAGACCAAAATTTATCGAAAAAGGGTTTCCCCGCTTTGTATACAAAGCAACCAACCGAACCATACAGGGATAGGTGCTGGGGCGGAAACAGCACAGTCACGCCCAAAAGAAACGACAGAGAAAGAGCAAAAGAAACAAATGCCGACAACGGCGGATCAACAAAAACGAAGAAGCCTCGCGATCGCTGCGCCCACCGGGCTCTTCCACTAGGCTCCAAGACTCCGAAGCGCCGGCATCAATCAACACCTCCAAGAAGGATCGCGACGATGACGACGCTGCTGCCAAGGGTTTCCCTCGGTACACGGCGAGGTGAGAGGAAGGGTAGCCCCCGACGCCCTCCCGGAAGGTCAGGTGGCACCCAAGGGCGCCACCGCGCCGGAGTCGGACACGCTGACAGGGGTTTCCCCTGATCCCAACCCGCACCTCGGGCGCTCCGGAACCAGCCACCAAATCAACCATCACCATGCGCCAACGCGGTCATGAGGCCTCCACGCCGTCTCACCACGGCACCGCGAAGTGAGGACAGCGCGGCGAAGAATCAGAGCCGGGACTAGGGCATCAGCACCATCGGCACGCGGGAGGGCCCCACCTCCACCGTCAGCGACTGTAGCCGTCCGGACGCAATAGCAGGAGCACACCAGGCCCGTAGGCCCACAGGCTCGGCCGAGCCCTCGTGGGCCCGTAAAGCTCCCGCCTTCGCGCTACTGCCGGCACGCCGTCGGCACCGACGCCCCATGTCCGAGCCGCTCCTCCTCCTCACCGCGCCGCAGACAACGAGACCACGCCGGGGGGTCGGCCCGCTAGTGCCCAGATCTGGGCCGGGGGCGCGCCGACGGCCACCCAGCACCACCACGCCGCCCCGCCGCCAAGGAGCGACGCCGCCACCACGCCTGCCGCCGGCCGCCGCCGCAGGGCCGCCGG